TAATTATTCATATTTCCCATGAGCTGATTCGCTACAATATATATACAACATACACCCTACTATTTGTGATTCTATGCTCTGATAATTTTATACTTTCAATGATTAGCAACGATTGTCAAAAGAAATCTTGTCTCTTTCCTTTGGAATGCGGGGGGAAAAGGGAAGGGTCCTTCGGTCACTCTCAGGTCAGATCTGAGAGTCTGCTGGAGAATCTCCTGCGGGACAGGGAGCTATAAAATTGTCTCTTTTGTTGATCGGATTTTAGCAATTTATGTGTCCAATGGACATGAGGTATCCCTATCTGGTCCTTGAAAGCCCGTAAAACGCTTTTAAGCACTGTGAAAGTACTGTCTTCTTTGGCATATCTTGAGAGATAGCCAAACAGTCCAGGAAATGCTTCACCTTCACTGACCCTGCATGAGTTTTACGACTGCATCTGTTGGATATGAGTTATTTGATTTGTCTCAATGGAATGTGAGGGTTTGATGTGTGTCTCCATCATGTAGGTGGGTCTGTTGTGAGACATAGATCCTACACAGGTATCATTATTTCTTCCACAGCTGGACATTAACCAATCATGTTTCAGAAGCAGCCATTCAACTGAGACTGTGTTAATGTCAGTCACCGAAGCCCTGGGGATTGTGAAAGCTGATTCCAAATCATCAGTTCTCATTCTGCTGGATCTATCTGCCACTTTTGACACTGAATCATCAGATCCTCCTGTCCACCCTCTCATTACTGGGCATCACAAGAGCTGCATTTCACTGGTTTGAATCTTCTCTCTCACACACACACACACACACACACACACACACACATCAACTGGTCACGGGTTCCTCAGGAATCAGTTCTTAGACCCTTCCTCATCTCAATATACAGTATCTCACAGAAGTGAGTACACCCCTCACATTTTTGTAAATATTTTATTATATCTTTTCATGTGACAACACTGAAGAATTGACACTTTGCTATAATGTAAAGTAGTGCGTGTACAGCTTGTATAACAGTGTAAATTTGCTGTCCCCTTAAAATAACTCAACACACAGCCATTAATGTCTAAACCGCTGGCCACAAAAGTGAGTACACCCCTGAGTGAAAATGTCCAAATTGGGCCCAATTAGCCACTTTCTCACCCTGGTGTCATGTGACTCATTAGTGTTACAAGGTCTCAGGTGTGAATGGGGAGCAGGTCTGTTAAATTTGGTGTTACCGCTCTCACTCTCATATACTGGTCACTGGAAGTTCAACATGGCATCTCATGGCAAATAACTATGTAGAGCAACAATTTTTTTCAGATCCTCAGAAAGATGGCGTAGGCTATAAGAAGATTGCCAAGACCCTGAAACTGAGCTGCAGCATGGTGCCCAAGACCACCATGGTGATCCAACGGTAGGTGCACGGATCTCAGGCTGCCTGGCGGACATTTCAGCATGGATGAAAAAACATCACCTACAGCTCAACTTCGCAAACACTGAGCTTCTTGTCTTCCCTGCCACTCCGACTCTGCAGCATGATTTCACCATCCAGCAAGGTTCATCAATAATTACCCCATCAAGTTTGGTTAGAAATCTTGGTGTAATCTTTGATGATCAGCCGACCTTCAAGGATCACATTGCACGGACTGCTCGATCTTGCAGGTTTGCATTGCGCAACATCATAAAGATCAGGCCCTTCCTAACAGAGCATGCTGCACAACTTCTTGTCCAGTCACTTGTCATTTCTAGGCTGGACTACTGCAATGCTCTTCTGACTGGACTTCCATCATGCGCAATTAAACCTCTTCAAATGATTCAGAATGCAGCAGCACGTCTGATCTTCAAAGAGCCCAAAAAGGACCAAGTCACACCTCTCTTTATCTCCTTGCACTGGCTACCGGTTGCGCCTCGAACTCATTTTGAATGACAAAAACTGACACACTATGACTGTGCACAGACCTCTGGAGGAGCAGGGGCAAAATGGCATTATGAGGGCACAATCGTGGACCGGGGGGGGGGGGGGGGTGAAAATTCTTTGTCATGTTGGTTTTTCTATTTTGCAAGCTGTTTGAGCATTAGAGCCAATTTAATTTCCCCATTATAAAGACAAAGCCTTTCAAGGTAAGAAAATATAAAAAGTATGGCAGATATTTAGGCCAAAGTGGGTGAAGATAAAAATCTTTGTTCTCATTTTTTAATAACAAAGATAAAATAATGACAAAGATACACATTACAAATACACATAATATACAAATAAAATAAACCGTGTTTTATTTTCAGGTATAGGCTACAATAGGTGTACTTAGCAGGAGCATTCAAAAAATGTAATGAAAAAATATAAAAATAAAACACTATATACATTGATTCTTATTAAAGCAACTGTATTAAAGTTTTTCAGTCAAGAGTATTGAGTGATTAGTCTGTGTTTTATTAACATTAAAGGAATAATTCGTCCAAAAATTAAAATAGGATACAGTTTTATTTTTATACCTTCATGTACTCACTCAAAAGTAGTTTTAAACCTGAATGAGTTTGTTTCTGCTAAACATAAAAGCTATTTTAAAGAAGGTGGAAAACCAAACAGTTGCTGGTCCACAGTGACTTCCATAGCATTTTTTTTCCTACTATCAAAGTCAATGTGGACCAGCAACTGTTTGTTACCCAAATTCTTCAAAACAACATCTTTTGTGTTCAGCAGAAGAAATAAATTAATATAGGTTTGGGACAACATGTGAGTGAATAAATAATGACCGAAATTAAATTTTAGGGTGAACTATCCCTTTAATGACAGTCGGCAGCATGTAGTCTACTGTCCCTTTAAGACCTGCATGCATCTAATATACAATATACACACAACGTAACTTAGTTCAGTAATCAGGCACTGTTTTTCGGGCTTTTTTGTTTTTATGCGCACGCTTTGGGTGTGCTCAGAAAAAGCGCTCATCAGAACAGCACATGAATGAAACGTTTAACCAGGCTTTAAAGGGGTCATATGATGCGATTTCAATTTTTCCTTTCTCTTTGGAGTGTTACAAGCTCTTGGTGCATAAAGAAGATCTGTAAAGTTGCAAAGACTAAAGTCTCAAATCCAAAGAGATATTCATGATAAAAGTTAAGAGTCAACCACGCCCTCCTAAAACGGCTCATTCTAACACACCCCCACATGTCTACGTCGCTATGTGGAAATATTAGCATAATGCTGCCCAAATGTGCACACAAAGAAAGAAGGCATGGTTTCAGGAACAGCAGTTAGTGTTGATGCAGCCATGTCAGTAAGACGGTGTGTGTTTCAGTGCGAAAGCAAAAGCACTTTATTTGGCCTTCCGGAAGTAGATGCAATTAGGAATCATTGGTTAAGATTTATTTACAACAGAACAGCACAACCCAGATGTTCGAATTTCTGACCCTCGCGATTATGGTAAGGGGCGTTACATTTCCGACGCGTGCTTGTGGTGTTCGGCCAATTACAATGCACTGGGTCAGCTGGCCAATTGAGCAGACTGCGCTTGTTGGAAGGAGGGACTTTGTAGAAAACTACATGTTTGAGAGAGGCGGGGCATAGAGGACCTACAATAATGTACAGTATTTGAAAAAGAATGTGGTTTTTGAACATTAAAGCATGTCAGCATATTCTGTTACACCAAATACACAAAATAATGATCTTTAAAATAGCATCATATGACCCCTTTTAAAGCAGATGCAAAAAATTTACTTTTGTGATTGTGAATAAGTGCAGTGTCCCGTGAGAGTAACTCTTACCGCTGAGTTAACACTGATGTTAATATATGTCGCGTTGTACAGTATATTGATTCGGTGGCGCCAGAACTGCAGCTGATAGAATGTACACTGTAGCACGATACAATGATATTTCTTCAAAAGCAGACCGTGGAGACATTTTTATCGTCCACAATCAAATATCTTCATATCGCACACCCCTACCCTTGGCAGAAATCGCGGACCAGGGACAGACTGGACCGCAAGGACAGTTTAGAGTCGGACCTCAAAGGGGCAGGGGCTCGAGCACATTGGTGTTTGGCAGCTAAATATATCTTCTAGAAGAAAGAGATCTCTGTTACCTGCAGGAACTGGATGTGATCCTGTGTGTGTGAAAGCTGGTCCAGCTCAGCGTCTCTCCTCCTCAGATCATTGATCTCCTGCTCCAGTTGCTCTAGTTTTTCTTCAGCTTGACTCACTTCAGTCTTGTCCTGATCTCTGATCCACTGTGTCACCTCAGAGCATCTTCTCTCAATGGAGCGAATGAGCTCAGTAATGATCTTCTCACTGTCCTCCACTGCTGACTGTGCAGAGCGCTGTTAGACACGCATCACAATCACAGTGAGCTTCAGTGGGACTGAAAGAGGAGAGTCCGAACCTAGACTGAGACAAACTTCTCTTCTTCTCCAGACTTACCTTATGAAACTCCACAGCTTCTCTCAGCTGCTGAAGAACTTTCTCTCTCTGCTGGATTATCTGCTGGAACTCCCTCTGCAACTGGTGCTGGAGGACAAATGAATGATACTAAATGTCACATAAAACTACTGTCTGTGAACAGTTGAATCCAGTAAAAGTGGATCTGATAATGGCTGCAGGTTCAAATATAATGGTGAAACTGACACAGACGTAGAGCTTTACTCAGACAGTGTTTATACTGTGTAACAGAGCTGTGGCTCCACACAGAAAATAAATGAACTATTGGATCATTACAGTATTTCTGTTAATAACTGCCATTGGTTTTCATTCGGAGTCAGTCACTGACAAATATTACAACCTTTTTTGTCATAAAATCTGATTTACAATAGAAGGGGCTTCAGATTTACATCCAAATTATAATTAATCTACACACAACAGAAGCCGAAGTGAAGCTATAAATGACTGAAATTGTCTGTCACAGCATTTATCTTGCATTTTGACTGATGGAAGTGCATTTTGACATTTTGTCAAACAATAGGTGAATAGTTCATTACATTATCTTATGATGCTTAATCAAAGCCTGTTTCACAAAAGAATGTGATGTGTTAACAAAGGTTTATGTACAGTGTGAATGCTGTAACCTGTTAATATGGGTGCCAATATAGATAGATATTAAATGGGTCCAAGTGTCAGCAATATTTCATTAGTGCCTAGTTTAAATACCTGTTTCTCTATCCTCTGTTCCGCAGCCGATACAGTGTCATGGTTTTTATGTTCATCCAAACACAGCACACATATGCATTTCTGGTCAGTGCGACAGAAAAGCTCAAGGAGCTTCTCATGTTTCCGACAGATCATCTCCTGCAGTCGTCCAGTGATATATTTTGTCAAACAATAGGTGAATAGTTAATTACATTATCTTATGATGCTTAATCAAAGCCTGTTTCACAAAAGAATGTGATGTGTTAACAAAGGTTTATGTACAGTGTGAATGCTGTAACCTGTTAATATGGGTGCCAATATAGATAGATATTAAATGGGTCCAAGTGTCAGCAATATTTCATTAGTGCCTAGTTTAAATACCTGTTTCTCTATCCTCTGTTCCGCAGCCGATACAGTGTCATGGTTTTTATGTTCATCCAAACACAGCACACATATGCATTTCTGGTCAGTGCGACAGAAAAGCTCAAGGAGCTTCTCATGTTTCCGACAGATCATCTCCTGCAGTCGTCCAGTGGCATCAGTCACTCTGTGTCCCTTCCCTTTAAACAAACTTTCATGTTGTTCAAGGTGATTCTGACAGTAAGAGTTCAGACACACAAGACAGGACTTGACGGCTTTGTATTTTCTTCCAGGACAGACATCACACTGCACATCTCCAGCTCCAGCGTCACAGTCAGCAGGAAGTTCAGTCTTCTTCAGTTTCTCCACCACTTCATCCAGCATGGTGTTTTTAGCTAAAGCAGGTCTTGGACTGAAGGTCTGTATGCACCGAGGGCAGCTGTAGACTTTCTTCTGATCCTCCTGATCCCAGTGGCCTGTAATACAGCTCTTACAGAAACGGTGTCCACAGGAAATTAGGATTAGGATTAGTTCAGAATCCTTCATACACAATGGACATGTGAACTCATCCCGATCCACTGAAATTCTGGCTTCTGCCATTTTACTGCATGAATACAGAGAATCAGACACACAACAGCTTAAATACACTTCAGTTTCTCTTTCCCTGAACTGATGTGTTGAAATAGTTTCCTGGATTTGTGTTCGTGTGACGTGTGTAAAACAGGTTTGTCTTGAAGTGTAGGTTCAACTTTCCTGCTCCTGTAGAGCCAGATTCCTTCTGAGTTTAGTTTCAACACAAGTCTCAAGCAAGTCTCAAGTCCCTACGATCAAGTCACAGTACAAACAAATCAAGCAAGTCAAGTCAGTGGCTCACCTCAAGCAAGTCAAGTCGAGTCCTGCTAAGGATCAAGTCAAGTCAAGTCACAGTATCAAACAGGAAATAATATATTTTTGCCACACAACCTTATTAATTTTTCCCTCAGAAATGAACTTTCTTAATTATACATTTTAAATGGGTCCTATTACGCTCTTTTACAAAGTCTTGATTTTGTTTTGGGGGTGTACTAGAACATGCTCTCATGCTTGGTGGTTAGAAAAACACATTATTTTTCACATAATTTACATTATTACAATACCTTTCTCTCCAGGCTGCCACAAACGGCTCGATTAGTTCCGGCTTTGATGAAGGTCCGCCTTTCGAAAAACAAAATGTGTTGTGATTCGAAATATCTCCCTTTCGAGTGGACTTTGAGATTTGTAACTTTCTAGATCTATTTTATGCCCAAACATACACACTACACACTGACTAAAATTAAAAAAGTGAAAAAGCATAATAGGACCCCTTTAAGAAATTAAGCCAAATTTTGAGAGATTTCATAAATAAACTGGTTATACACAGCTATGCCAAACTACAGCAAAATGAAAATATGCACACTTTTACAATATAAGTTGGCTGAATAAAAGAGCCAATTGGCAATCTTTACAGTCATTGCATCACTGAACTTATTTTGCTAAGATGAAACTAATACTGTACAGTCACGTCAACTGACAGAGCAATCCAACACTAGACCAGATTTAAAATAATGAGTTGAAAAAACTTGTAGAGACACTTTGATTTTGACTTAAAATTTAATGCAGCCTTTAAACTTCATTATTTTAAGCTTATATGTGTGAAAATTTTCTAGAGTGTATGCCATGAGCAAACCTCTTAAAAATATGTCTTCTATATAACTCGCACATCATCTAGTCGTGTTTGGTCTTCCAAAAGAGGACGATATCTGCTTCGTCATGCCTGGAGCTGATCAGTGCTGGTCGCTGAGGGAATACATCAACTTAGTGCTGTGGATCGCCGGCACATTTTATGGAGGACTGTTTACTGATCCTGGGAGAGTAACGTTAGACTAAAATGCCGGCAGTTCTGACTCACGTAAGTACGTTTTCTTTTATCATTTGCCACTGATGATTCAAACGTGAGTTTTGGGCAGTGTAGAGTAGCACTTGTTGTTTGTCATTTCTCTGATCACAAATGCAGGTCATTATAATCAGTAATTATGTCCCCACTGGATGCAACAAATGCCTCGTTTATAATGGGTTTTCATGTTTTTGTCTCGTCGCTCCGGCCGGACACGCCATCACAGTATGTGAGGGGCAAAACATTTCCGTCTCACGCTTGAGGTATTCGGCCAATCACAACGCACTGGACAGCTGGCCAATCAGAGCACACCTCGCTTTTCAGACCGATGAGCTTTGTTAAAACTGACACGTTTCAGAAAGACGGGGCATAGAGGAGAAACAATAATGTACAGTATGTGGAAAATAATGTGTTTTTTTAACCTTAAACCGCATAAACACATTTCATTACACCAAATACACAAAATAATGTTCTTTTTAGCAACATCATATGACCCCTTTAAGATTTAGGTGAGAAATGGTACATTCCCGGTATGCACGGTATGCACCTATGAAGTTGGTTCGCAACCCGCCATAAAACCAAAAGAAGAAGCAGCTCTCTCTATCGTGCATGGATGCCTGATGAGCGCGGTGTTTGCTGACACTCCGGGGGAACAGAAACAAAGAAAATAATCTTCTAGATGACTTCTATCGATGGATTAATGTGAGTGAAGTGACGCATTTTATTTTCCATTTGTTGTGAATGACATTGATATTGTAATGTGAGTGAAACGGACATTTAACTTGTAAATATAAAAGTGTATGGTGATATACACATACTCTACTAGCGACAGAGTGTTGCTAAAGTGTTTACGGAGTGTATTTTTGATTAAAAAGGGTAAAGACAAGGATTTAAAGGGGATGTGCTGTACCTGCACCATTTTGGAATTTTCTGGAAGTTTAACGATCTCCTTGGTAAGGCAATGTGCCTTGTTAATCGTTACCAATCAAATCGTTATTATTGTGTAAGTGGATAAAGCAAGATAAATAAAATTTGCAAGTGATTTATGTATGAAAAAAAATGTGTAACGTTAAAGCTGTATTTGGTACATAACAGCTAACTGTGCTCAAGTATGTGACGAAAAATGGTCAGTAATATATTAGTGTGTTATGTTGGAAAAAATAGTCACAGACATCGCATATATATAAGAAAATATTCTTTATTTGAAAAATACATGTACATATATTCAAAATACTCAAGTTCTGTGTAATATGAATGATGTATAGTGATTAATTTACTTTCATGAGTTAAGAACTTTATTGTATGTTGTTACAATGAAGATATTCATGATATTTTTGTGACCTTGTTTGTTCAAGGTCAGGTTTTTTCCCTTGTTGTTGTTCTGTCCTTTTCCAAATTCGATTGCTGTCCTCTGTCTGATGTGACGAGATGTTCCGGTACCTGCATTCTGGATTTGTCCCGGCCTTCCAGTGGTTCTGAGGAGGGTTTGGACTGGCGAGCCTCCCTTGAGTCTGCTCTTGGATTTTCTGTGGAAACAAAAGACACGTTTTTCTGAACCCTGCGAATGGTAGGAAATCGAATAACTTTTCTTTCTTTTTTTCTCTTTCAGATGGAGACGTTTTTTTCTCATCAACAGAGAAAAGATTTATATCTCTCTACGGACTACTTGAAGAACGTCTCGGTTACATATGTAACCCTCGTTCCCTGAAGGAGGGAACGGAGACGTCACGTCGGAGGACCGACGAATTGGGATCTCGCTTAAGACTTCGGCTTAACCGCCTGCAAAAAGGCTCCAGTGGGCCCTGCTGTAGTGCCGTGAGCACCAGAGTCAGGTCCCACGAGGGAATAGAGGGTGGCCGTGGAGGATTTAACCTTCCCGCCCCTTAAGGAACCTGACGACCAGGTCATGCTTCCCTAACGACCTCCTTCTACGGGGTTCCGACGTGACGTCGAGAGTGACTGACTGAAAGGGAACTGTTTTTCTTGAAAGAATGAACAATTGATGGTTTTGAGATCAAAGGACATTATTTTATTTTATTGAGAAGTGTTAATTTTCTGTTGTGTTGACAACTGTGATACATACAATCACCTGCCACTTTATTAGGTACACCTGTTCAATTGCTTGGTAACACAAATTGCTAATCAGCCAATCACATGGCAGCAACTCAATGCATTTAGGCATCTAGATGTGGTGAAGACAACTTGCTGAAGTTCAAACCGAGCATCAGAATGGGGAAGAAAGGAGATTTATGTGACTTTGAACGTGGAATGGTTGTTGGTGCCAGATGGGCTGGTCTGAGTATTTAAAAAACTGCTGATCTACTGGGATTTTCACACACAACCATCTCTAGGGTTTACAGGGAATGGTCCGAACAAGAGAAAATATCCAGTGAGCGGCAGTTGTGTGGACGAAAATGCCATTTATGTGACTTTGAACGTGGAATGGTTGTTGGTGCCAGATGGGCTGGTCTGAGTATTTAAAAAACTGCTGATCTACTGGGATTTTCACACACAACCATCTCTAGGGTTTACAGGGAATGGTCCGAACAAGAGAAAATATCCAGTGAGCGGCAGTTGTGTGGACGAAAATGCCTTGTTGATGTCAGAGGTCAGAGGAGAATGGGCAGACTGGTTAGAGATGATCGAAAGGCAACAGTAACTCAAATAACCACTCATTACAACCAAGGTATGCAGAATATCATCTCTGAACGCACAACACATCGAACCCTGAAGCAGATGGGCTACAGCAGCAGAAGACCACACCGGGTGCCGCTCCTGTCAGCTAAGAACAGGAAACGGAGGCTACAATTTGCACAGGCTCACCAAAATTCGACAATAGAAGATTGGAAAAATGTCGCCTGAATTTCTGCTGTGACATTCAGATGGTAGGGTCAGAATTTGGCGTAAAGAACATGAAAGCATGGATCCATCCTGCCTTGTCTCAAAGGTTCGGGCTGGTGGTGGTGGTGGTGTAATGGTGTGGGGGATATTTTCTATGCACACTTTGGGTCCCTTAGTACCAATTGAGCACAGTTTAAACGCCACAGCCTACCTGAGTATTGTTGCTGACCATGTCCATCCCTTTATGACTACAGTGTACCCATCTTCTGATGTCTACTTCCAGCAGGATAATGCACCATGTCACAAAGCTCAAATCATCTGAGACTGGTTTCTTGAACATGCCAATGAGTGCACTTTACTCAAATGGCCTCCACAGTCACCAGATCTCAATCCAGTAGAGCACCTTTGGGATGTGGTGGAATGGGAGATTCGCATCATGGATGTGCAGCCAACAAATCTGCAGCAACTGCGTGATGCTATCATGTCAATATGGACCAAAATCTCTGAGGAATGTTTCCAACACCTTGTTGAATCTATGCCACGAAGAATTAAGGCAGTTCTGAAAACAAAATGGGGTCCAACCCGGTACTAGCAAGGTGTACCTAATAAAGTGGCCAGTGAGTGTATATGTCCTGTACACTTGCATTATATGCAGAGAGATGGATTTTTTGTTCATCTGAAGAATCAAAGTCATGTACATGTAGGATGTCATGAAAGATGGACTTTTTGTGTTCCGCTGTGCTGCATTTTAATTGCTGCTGTTGCTCTAGAAGATAGACTGATCGTTGTTTTCATCTGTCATTGTGTTTTCTCCCTTTAACCAAACTTTTGTATGTCTGTCTGACAA